GATATAAATGAAAGAAATTATGAGTTAAACACATGTAATATACTATTGATAGTGATGAGCTACACAAAAATGAACCCAAATGCAGTTCCCAGGGGCAGCACCCTCTAAAATCTTCTTGCAGGGGGATTATAATAAGGTTCCATATAAGGCATCAGAGCATTAAGCAAAGTGGCAAGTTTTAAAGTGATTACCGGAGTCTCCACATCCATGGTGCCCTGGCGAAGGCAAGAGAGAGTTTGGGTGGTAAATTACTCAGGAGGAGGTATTTTTGTAAAAGCTTGATTGTACTGTTAATCTTTAAGGTATTTTGTCTTTCTTGCACTATAAAGGTTTAGATGGTTGCTTGAAAACCCATTAAATTTCTGGTAATAACAATCTGTAGTTGCTTATCTATATAGTCAGTTTATATTTGAAATGTAATTCTTTGATGCCAAATGGATATTCAAAATAGTCTTACTTGAAAATTACAATAATAAAATACAAGAAAGGATGATAAATGCTTGTAAAGCAATTTTCATTTATCCATCATACTGAAAATTTACATTTACCAAATTTTCACATAAATGGTAAGTGATGTATAGATATCATAGGAGGAGGGATATTTATGTATTATTAGTAGAAATATTAAGTTTACATTTTTCTTATTATTATTCATATTTTAGAAAGTAAAAATCTGAGTGGTTTGTGCATAGGCCTATGTAAAGTTTTCAACATGTCTGTTGCTCTTTTCGATTAGTCTAAAGTTTATAATGATTTATTATTGACTGTTCCAGTCTCATTTGACATATTTATAAAGTAAATATTTCTAAACTTATGAAAATGGTGTTTATTTGATAATAATGCCATATATTATTTTCATGTACTTAACATTGTTTATTTACAAATTAGTAAATCCTTTACAGATGAATTTGTAAGCCAAGGAAGTGCCAGTCAGTAACAGGAGAAACATGGAGGGAAATTCAGAATCCCAAGACCTGTTGGTACAGCAGGAACCGTCAGGTGGCAATGTGAATGAGGCATCTGATGTGTCTGATGATTGCCATGACAGTAGTGAACAGCTTTCCCTTAGCCCAGGTTGGTACCAGGGTGTTATATGGACATTTTGATGCATAATTGGATGGATTTCACATTTGTCAGTAATGGCATGGAAAGTATTTAGCAGTCTGGATTGGGACTCATTGGGATGGAATTACAATTTTATTCTGGTATTTCCCCAAAAGATGTATGTACATATATTTTTTTTCAAAGAGTGTCATGATGACAGAATCATAGATGACACCAGTAAATCATAGCTTTGAAATTTCCACCTTGCATGTCATGAATATTGGTTAACCATATCATGAATATTGCCTTTCTCTGGTAGAAAGAGATAGAGGAAACTGAAAGAAATAGGAGAAATAGGGGGAATAGAGTAGCAAGTAGAATTTTTTTTTCCATGGAGACTGCTATGAAGCAATGCAATATTTGAAACTGAACACATCATCAGTGGGATTAAAAATGTGTAAATTTGATCTTGTTAGAATTTGACAATAATGAAAAACTAGCCAAACAGACTGGGCAAAGTAAGGTGAATTGGTGCCACGTTGAAAACTTTTTGCTCATCACATTGCTTTATTTGTTTTGTCTTGAAAAAGGGGCACAAATATTAGAAAAATTGTATATTTTATTTATTTATTTTTTCAACAAATTATTATTCAACACTTATTTTTCACCAGCATAAATATGATATTAGTACATACTACAGAAGTTTGTTGAGAAGATTGTTCAGATTTTTGTTGTACAGTTTAGAAAAAGCTTTACATTGCAGAAAGTATGATTGATATATATCACCATTGATACCAACCCAAATTAGAAACCACATTAAACTTACAACAAACTTTTCTGAAAGTACTAAATGCTATGACCTTGTCTTTTGAAATCAACACACCAGCTGGATCTCCAACTGAAGCCCCACCGTCCTATAAGCCTGAGCCACAAGTGCCTGATATCCCCTCATCATCCGTCACACACGATGCCGCCAACGACAACTGTACATACAACGATAGCCCTGAAAGTATGGGCCCATGCTAGTTTTCATATAGGAAAGTAGTAAATTAATGGAACATTTGTTTATTTGTTAATCTTGTGGTCTTGTAAGCAGAAGTAGTATGCACTTCTTTTCCGGATTTTGAATTGAGTTTTGGAAATGGATGTATTACAAAGATTTATAATCTGTTGTGTATTCCTACTGTAACCTACTTGCATACATGATTTTTAAAATAATTTCCTTACAAGTCCAATTTGTTTTCCTTCTTTGACAGGAGAATACTGTGATACCAACAATGAAGTAGGAGGCAGTTATGGTGATGGAGAATGTGCCACATCCACTAATTATGGTTCACGTATAGGCCATAGTCGCGGTGCTAGCCAAGTTTCTTCCTGTGAACCATCAGTTTGCCGTATGTCAGGTATTTTTGTGTCTCATGAGGTTAATTACTCTTAAATGGAAATTATATTTTTCTTATTTTTATCAGTTGTTGCTTGCAATTTAACCCTTTGCCTCCAGATGGCTTGCATATATGTTCCATGTTGAGAGTAGCCATCTAACCAGGCATATGTATGTCCTGCAGCTGGTAATAGTTTATAACTCTAGATACTTCACAGGAATTTAGGATAAAAAATAGCACTTAGATCTCCTTATTGATAACACTTAGATCTTAGACCTTATTTTATATATATCTGTATTAGAGCCACAAACTAGGACTTTATTGGTACATATATAGTGTGAAAACACATACGCTAGTTACTTTCATGTAGGATAATCCATCATGTTCATTCCTTTTAATGTTTTAGCCTAGCTGCATTAGGTTGATATTGTACATTAAAGTCAGTAAGAGAAGTGCTTTCTTTCAGGTCGAGATTTGTGCCATAGCCGAGGAGCTAGTACAGATGGTTCAACCATGGAGGCTTACCCTTATTCTGCTTCTGAAAGCCGACGAGGCACCTATAGTGAAGCAGGAACACTGCCTATTGGTTAGAACCTGCTTTGGAGTATCTGCTTAGAAGACTATAAATATATAGGGAAAATGGATGCTTATCATTTCAAGTACTGTAGTAAATATGTATAACTTTTATTTTTTGCATAATAGTATATATGTTATATGTTTTGCTAAATTCTTGTCATGTTAAAGAATTTACACATCTCAAACTAACTCTCAGGGTCAACAATCATCGAAGAAAACATGCAAGGCTGGGATCGTGAATCTGAGAAAAAGCTGTCGGATAGTGAAGAAGTAGGAACAACTTATTCAAGAAAACTGGTATCCTTCTGTGATTGCTGTCAGTCGGTTCTGCGCAGCCAACATGAACTGAGAGAACATCCAACAACATTGGAATTGATAAAATATGCCTTCACTTGCCCCCCACATGGAAAGGTAGTGTAGTGTCATTATTCTTCATTATTCTGCACACAGAAAAGTGTTCTTCTGTTATTCCTCATTTTTTTCTGCTTTTCTACTCCTCAGCTTCTTTTCTTTCAGTTTGATTATAATACAGAGTGGTTTAGGCAAGATGAATAGGCATAATTGAGAATTTGCACTTTGATGAGAGAAGATTAATGCGGTGAGTCTAGGATGGCAAAAATACATACTGTGTACACTGTGATTTTAGTTTGCTAGTTGCTAGTTTGCATTGATAGTTCTACAAAAGCTTAGTCACTAAGGAGTCAATTACTAGTTCTACCTTTACTTACCTGTTTATCCTTTTCCCTGATTTTTGGAAATAATTTTATTTTTTATATCTAATTGCTATTAGTATTGATGATAGTAATGGTAATAGCAACAATAGTGATATTGATAGAATAAAAAAAAAAGTGAAAAAAAAAATATAATGGAATGGGGATATCAAATAAGGCCAAGTAGGATGCCAAATTGATTTCTTGGTAAATAAGCACTGGTGGAGCTGTCATTGTGTGAACAAAATTCACACAACAAAATTACAATAGACAGTGCAATTACCTTCTGCTAATGGGTGAAGGCTTTGATTCGTGGAGAACAGAACTTCAGGGTCGTTTTATTATGATGCTTACATTTTGATAGCTCTGCACAATCATTTTTAAAATTAAAAATATTCATTTGATATAATCTTACAATGCACACCAAAAGAATTCAATAGCCTTTTGTTATTCTACATTTATGATTCGAAAACATAGATGTGGAGCAGTATGGTTAAAGCTACAATATCATACACTATGTACAATCTATAATTACCTTTATTATTATTTAATTTTTGCTTTTGTTCTTTTTAGGTTGGGAATTTCCTGCTATGGCTGTTAATTGGCCTTGCCTTCTGGGGCTGCCTGATCTCCATCACTGGCGAAGAGGCTCTTCCGGGCGGGAACTTTTTCAGCCTCATCGTCCTGTATGTGTTTGCCATGCTGGCTGGTGAAGCTGTGAAACACATTGGCCTTCCCTCCCTGCTGGGGAGTCTGGTGGTGGGCATACTGTTTAGCAGTATACCTGGCATTAATGTTATTGGGAGTAATTTAGATCATTCATGGTCTGCTGCCTTGAGGTAAAAGTATTCTCTTGTTTAAGGGTAGGTGTTTATTTGATGATTTTGATATAATCTATATTGTTAATTTTTTGTCATAAAAATGTTAGATGGAGATGCCATTTCCAAATAAGTAGATAAGTACTTACATAAAGAGCTAGGTAGGTAAAAAGATAGATAGATGGATAGATAGATAGATAGATAGATATGTAGGTAGGTAGGAGGTAAGTATGTAGTTAGACTGATTGAGAGAAGGGTTATATATATATATAAACATACATCCCTCTATATATATATATATATATATATATATATATATATATATATATATATATATATATATATATATATATATATAAAGGTATATATATGTATAAATATATAAATGTATATACATATATATATACACATATATACACATATATATACATATATTTACATATATACATATATATATATGTGTGTGTGTGTGTGTGTGTGTGTGTGTGTGTGTATGTATGTATGTAAGTGTATGTGTGTGTATGTAATTATGTAATTATGTATGTATGTATGTATGTATGTATGTATGTATGTATGTATGTATGTATGTATGTATGTATGTATGTATGTATGTAAGTATGTATGTATATATATATATATTATATATGTAGATATGTATGTATAAATATATATGTCTATATATGTCTATATATGTCTATCTATATCTATATCTATATCTATATCTATATCTATATCTATATCTATATCTATATCTATATCTATATATATATATATATATATATATATATATATATATATATGTATATGTATATATATTCTCAGTCTAACTTACCTCCTTCGTACAAAATTCACAAAGGTGTTATGCTATCAACACCCTCTGGATTTCCTTTTTTTTTTTTTTTTTTAAGATCTGAACAGAGCACTATCATTATTTTCTATTTTATTTTTCAATCATATTCAGTATTGTTAAATATCTTATTTGTTATCTTGCTTTTCAGAAAAATTGCCCTCGTGATCATTTTGATAAGGGCTGGGCTTGGCTTGGATCCAGTTGCCTTAAGAAAGCTAAGCTGCATTGTTCTGAGACTGGCTTTCATGCCATGTATGGTGGAGGCCTTGACTATGGGTGTTGTTTCTAAGTTCTTACTTGACCTTCCATGGAGCTGGAGTTTGATGCTTGGGTAAGTTTATGTTATCTGTTGTTTAATTTGTAATAGGAACTGATTTTGTCATCTAAGTTGTTAACCCAATGCCGACGTGTATGTACATGCTATGCCCACCGTGAGTACATGATTGATTGTTTTTACACATAGATAGCAACACTTGTATTAACTCCCCAATGAGCCAGTTACGAGTACCGCCCGTCTCGCCCGTTTACTCTTTTCTTTGATTTACAAAATATTTTACGCTATCTTATTTTGCTGTTACTAATGTTAAAAAATATTATAAAAATTCTAATGTATATGATAAAGATAATACCATCGATTTCCATAGCACTAGTGAAAAATACGTTTTTCCCGGCACTTCAAATCAGGCGCAAGGAGAGCCATCTATCGGCAGACATTTCAAGTAAAACATAGATAATAGGCACAGCAATTTCCCCATTTTTTGTTCATTTTCCCCGGCGGCATTGGGTTAAAAAGAGCAAAACAATTCACCTTGAACATCTTCCAAACCTACTTCTAGTATCTCTTCTCAAATAATTAGCTAAGAGGTTTCTGTATGTACAGGTATATAAACTTACCTGCTTCTTGCTTTAGTTATTTTTTAGATTAACAGTATCTGTTGATTTCGATAAAAGGACCACAGTAATAAAGGAAATACAAAGCTGATCTTTTGAGATATAATCTAATTTCCTCACTATACAATAAAACCAAAATCATCCACTTAGGTCATGTTGGGTCGTACCAAAAAGAGTTTGTATTTCTCATATCCAGTAGCTGTTTTGATAAATCTTCTTAACTTTCTTTATTCATCAAAGTGATAATTTGTTTCCTAGTACAGGTACGTGCTCGTCTGTTTTTTTTTTTTTTTTTTTTTTTAATCAGTCGAGGATATTATAATTGTCATAGAGGAAATTACTTTCAAGGCGTTCATAAGCCGTTGAATTTCAGTTTTGTGGTGGCTGCTGTGTCTCCAGCTGTAGTTGTGCCATGCTTGCTGAAGCTGGGTGAGGATGGATATGGTGTAGAGCAAGGGATTCCAACCCTGGTTATTGCAGCAGCAAGTATGGATGATGTTCTGGCCATTACAGGTTTCAGTGTTATGATGGGATTAACATTTGCCAAGGGTAAGTGTCGTTATGTTATCATTGTTTAAAGTCACTGAGAACCGGCATTAATCAGATTTTAATTTGTTTCACTGTTTTAAGATAGAACTAAAGCTGGAGAACATGAAATGGAATACGAGAATATTTTTTTTGTTTCTTTACTACTACTTAGTAAAATATTCTTTTGTTAACATAGATTTCCATCAGGGTAATCAGTTTTGAGGAGAAATTTAAATTGTCATAGTGTAAACATCGCCTCATGATAAATAATGTGTGGTCAATACTCATTTTTACTTTGATATTGAGGTGAAGATGTACTAAAAAAGTTGGTAATAACTGAGGATGTGTTGAACAGGGTAATGATCATAATTATTTGATGATTGACAAATTGATGATAATTATTTGAATTATTTGATCTTATGCAGATATTGCAATATGCCATATGCCTTAAAAATGTATAGGGTGTTGATCACTTAGAAATCCATATTATTCCAGCGAATGCAACACATACCTATTTCTTTTTTCAGGTTCAACAACATGGACAGTGTTCAAAGGGCCATTTGAAATATTCACAGGAATTGTATATGGCATTGTATTTGGTATTGTGTGTTGGTATCTGCCATATAGAGAAAAGAAGAACAGGGCAATCTACAAATTGCTAATGCTCTTTGGTCTTGGAGGGCTTGCCATGTTTGGGAGTCACAAGGTATTTGCAATTTCATCTCAATTTAATGTAGGATTATTTATTCTTAAGACCGGTATGCAGAAATACATTAATTCCTTGCTTTTGCTGGCCTTGTTAAATGAGAGTTTGACAATACAGTAGTTGCAAATATGTAATATCTTGGTCTACAGATTTGCTAGAATATGCATTGAAAATCCATTTTTATAAATGTATAATTTAGGAAATATATATAGGAAATGTATTACCAATAACCAATATGCCATAATACCTATAACCATTATGGTAATGCTGCATAAAGATACAAATCAAAATTATTAGCCCATCCTGTTTAAAGTGCCTACAAGGATATTTAGGTATCAGTGATGGATTTTGCAGGTATGGTCAACAGTCCTACTCAGTTACTTGGCTGAAAATTTAAGATTTGGCAAACATACTTGAGGGCAGCTTAAAGTATGGTATAGGAGCTCTGTATCAGGCCATCAGAGAACACAGTGTTGCTTGCAGAAAACAGGTTAGGAATCTCCTAAAAAAAAAAGAAAAAAAAGACAAGTTTAGTTCTCTAACCGTAGGACTTTGAGGGATAACTGAGGAAATTTGTAAATATTTGCTTGTATTTCCTAATGGAAACCACATTCTGCTTGAAAGTTTATAGTATCTGTTTCAAAATAACATTTGTATACATAAATGCACATTTAATGATTTTAAATCCATCCATCTTGATAATATAAAAGTTATTCTTTATTAAAGTTAAAACAGGATTGTTTAACATATTTTTATTTTTCAGGTACTTTTAGATTCACATCAGTCATGTTTTATAAAATAAAATTGCTTTACTAGGTTGGACTGGAGAGTTCAGGAGCAATTGCTGTGTTGACAGTGGCCTTTGTTGCTGGTTTAGGGTGGCGTAAACCAGGAAATGAGGTTTGTTTGCATTATGCAATGTTGTTCTGTATCCTAGCTGCTCGAATAATTGAATTGAATGTTTGTTTGTCAATCCTCACCTTCTGACATGAATATACTACAAGTTAATAGCTGAACTAGTCTGACTTCTGAAGTCTCTTTTTCTTTATAATTATCCCTGTTGCATAACCACTCCCCTTGTTTTGTGTTTGTATTTAATGATGATACTGAATTACTTTTTTAGAAATATTTTTTATATCTTTGGCAACAAAAAGGCCTTTTTTTTATAATTTTAGATTTTCTCTTTTTCATTTATTTATCAGTTTATTTAGTTGAGGATCCTTTTAGTTAACATGCAAGCAAATGATCTCCGCCCACCAGCAGCTCATCAGTTCGTTGGCATTTGCTGTTGTCTTTGTCTCATCCCCTAATAAGCACATTCTGTTTTCTTTGCCCTTCCCCCAACAAGCACACATTCATGTCAGTCTCCTCTGAGAGTTGCCATTTACCTTTTAATTAAAACAATTTTACTTAGGATATTTGAAAATATTTAAGTGAGATACAGGAATAGAAAAGTTAATTTCTTGCTTGGCTTTTAACCCTATTATTGGATTAGGCAATTTCCTCACTTGTACCCCTTGTTTGTTCTGCTTGTATGACTTTCCTTACACCCCATGAGCTTGCATTTTTGGAGTAGAGCCTAAAAATTTCCTTAAGTTTATTGAATACTGAAAAAGAAAAGATTTATATAAAAAAAAGAAGTAAAAAGTTACTGTTCATAATATGATAATCATTTATGCATGGTATGTAAGCATAGACCTGTTTAATCTCTTTATTGCAAAATATAGTACAACTATAGTACACAGTTGTGCTATATTACAAAATATAGCACAACTGTGAAGAAAAAGGCAGAAACATCTTGATATACAAATTCATGGTAGTGATATATATTATCAATATGTAGAAAAGAGTAGTTATCATGTTTTTGCACAAATTTAGCTAATGTCTGCCCTTTTTGACACATTGTATAGATTAATTAACCATCATGAATTATATATACACATCCTTTTGTATTTAATGTTGGTGTGGTATTCTTCAAAACAAGCAGTAGCAGACAAGTGGGTTACTGTGTAAAGATAAGCTTCTATTTGTAGATATTCTCACATGCCGATGAAGCTGTTTTTCCCAGCCCCTGTTATTTGAAAACAGGTGAATTTGGCTGGTTAACACACCTGTGGAAAAGATTTTCATGGCTATAGAATATACTTAAGTTGTACACTTCTTAAGAAAGACATTGACAATGAGAATACTTGCCCTCCTCACTTAAATGGTTAATATATATTTTTTAAACAATTATAATGCTGCTGTTTTTTACTGTTATAAACATTAAAAGATAGGTACAAGGCAGCACTAATTCCTCAAGTAAAACTGTGTTAACTCATTTGAATATTATAGACAACTGAGCTTTGTTGTGGGAGTTAAAGATTATACAGGATTAAAGATTATCTAGATATTAAAGAATAAATTTTAACTTTATGTGTAATTTATTTTTTTCAGGATCCTGCTGTTGGCAAATATTATCGCTTCTTATGGGAGATCTTCCAGCCAATGCTCTTTTGCTTGATTGGCGCAGAGATTAATGTAAGGCATTTACTGACTCAGGCAGTTGTAAATAAAATATATCAACTCATTTTTTAATTCATGCAGCTTTGTAAAATTAAATAAAAAATCTCTCATTAAATATTTATATGGCTTGATTGGAGCAGAGATTAATATAAGGTTTTTACTTGACTCAGACAGTTGTAAATGAAAATAGTATATCAACCTATTTTTTTTTCTCTCTCTCATACAGCTTTGTACAATGAAATTAAAAATCTCTCATTAATATGTATGTGGCTTAGACATGTAAGTATATCACATGTTTAACTCTCCTTTTTTTTCTAAACTTCAGGTCATGGCCATAGAGCCAAGCACTGTAGGATGGGGTTTACTTGCACTGATAGTAGGACTAACCCTAAGAGTTGCTACCTCATTCGTTGTTGTGATGGGTGCCTCGTTTACAGTGTGGGAGAGATTATTTATTGCTATTGCTTGGCTTCCAAAGGCCACTGTGCAGGTAAGACACCAACATTTGTAGGGATAAGAATGTTTTAGAATATGAAAAAAAATCCTCCCCAAACTGACCTTAAATATCATAATCCCAAAAGACTATTCACCACAGAGGCATGACAAATGTAAGTAGATAATAAACATATACTTATATATGTATACATATAATTTTCAGCCAGTACGTTTTCAAATAAAGCATCTGTTAGAAGAGCAGAAAGAATTTTGTTTGGCCTTGTCTTACTCGGTTTGTACATAATCCTTCACCATTTCAGGCTGCCATTGGGTCTTTAGCCTTAGATTACGTCCAGCAGTCTGATAGTGAACCTGACCCTGAGGATATTCAACGCGGGGTGAAGGTTTGTTTTTACTCAATTCTGTGTTTGGTGTGAGGGTGGCAAGTACCCTGTATGCATGTTGTTTAATGTTGTTTCATTTTTTTTGTTTTTTAATTTTATTTAAAGTCTTGAGCACTAAATGTATATTGTGTGTTATTAAAATGTTTTGAATTCTGTACAGTAGATAAATTTTTATTGCAGTTGCTTTTTGAATAAATTTACAATGTATAGAACAGTATAATGTTGTTTGTTTGGAAGGATTGTAGAGGCAGCGTAGGATTCCAAGTATAGTATAATGAACATAGCCCTTTTATCAAGTAAAAGCCTGTGTCAGATTAAAAAAGGTTTTTATGGGATGATTATTCCTCCTTTTTCTTTCTTTTTTTTTCTTTCTTTCTTTCATTGAGCATTTATATTGTCATGTTCAACTGATATGACAGCTACATTTCAGTTACAATGTGAATAGATTTATTTTTTGTAAAAGATAGAACTTAAGATTTAGAAAAAAAATTATCTCATGTTAGTTAATTGATATGGGAACACTAATGATAAAGTGGGTCTTTCTTATGAACTTTATTTTATGAGGATTAACAACTAAGTCAGTAGATATAACTAGATTTTAAACTCAATGTAAAATTTGATAATAAACCTGACACTAGATTTGGGAATATGGTAAATATTCTTGAAAATGATGATAGTTATTTCTTCATTCCAAATTTTAGTTATTTTCCTCAACTAAATCTATTGTGATATAAATTGCAGAGATTCTCCAATATTGTTTTCATGTTTGGAGATGCAAAACAAATATACAATATAAATACTGCATACACATTGCCATATTGAAATCCCTGTCTTCACAATCATTTTTTCTTTGGTAACATCATAATTTTGAAGGAAGTTGTGAATGATTTACTTATATAAAAATTAATATAGTAATATCCAAACTCAAGAGTAGTTATTTAGGAAAGGATTCAGATATATACATCAGTAAGATATTAGTGTTATATTTTTTATAAAGGTAGTTCTTGCAATGCAAATGAAAAATAATTTTGCCTCATAGAATTATTAAGTTTCATTAATACATTTTTCAACAGTGAATCTATTTTTAAGGGTGTCATTAGCACACCGAACATAATAATATAGAATGAGATAATCATGAAATGAAGAAAATATTGAAATATATAAAAGAGAAGAAGACGATAGTGTGTGTAATGATAAGAATCTCACAAATTAGTTCCAATGACAGGTGAAGTTTCTCTGTTGTATTATTTTGCATTTGATTTTGATTTCTTCAGGCAGTTGAGTGTTTTCACTACTCTAAGCTCAAAGTGATTCCCTCCAAAAAAGTAAATATACATTTTCATGCTAACACTTTACATTCAGATGTGAATTATATCACAACTTATCTCAGAAGATTGCTTTCATGCATCTTGCATGGCCAGGGTTTCCCCTTCCAGAATTGGTGATTAAAGTTATTGATTCTAATAGCTGTGGCAGTGATATGGAATTGGTTTGATGCCTGGGATAGAATAACAGGTGCAAGAAAGCTTTGGTGATAGTCGAAGCTCATGATCTTTTGTTTTGTTTACTTAATTTTTGATATTACAATTACAAATTGATTAAGGTTGTGGGCAGCTTATATGAAGGTGTCATATACTAATGTCCAAAAATAACAGTCATAAGTATTGGAAGCTTTTGTTTGATAGTTTCTGAGTGGTGGAATTTTTCTTAAGAGATGAGTGTTTTTTATTTATTGGTCTGGATGACTGCTGTTGAACAGAGCACTACACAGCAATAATGTAGTATCATCCCATTAGTTTGAAAAAGATAAGAAGAATACCCTCATGATTTTGATTATTATGAAATTTTTATGCTGGAAAGAATCCTGAAATGTCTGTAATGCTTTAAGACACTACAAATTGTCTAAGACCTTTCTTTTTGTATAGTAAAACTGTAAAGGAGGGATCTTCATATATATTATAATTTTGTAGGCAGGGAGGGATTTTGTCATCTATTTCCGTGATAGTGAAGAGTAGAAATGATTTAGGAGTGAAGTTAAATCAAACAATGTTAGAAGTTTCTAAGAAAATAGAAAGAACATAGAATAATGTTAATGATAACAGTGATAATGATGTTATGGTAATTATGTGCAATAGTGTACCATATAGTTCCCTTGTGTTTAGATTAAGTATTTGTTGAGAAATTTGCAAAGGAATTCCTACACATGTTTTGAGTAAAGTCAGTAAATATCAGTAAATGTGGTTATTTTGGGCATATATAATAGAAACTGCAAACTTGAATAATTGAAAATGATGCTGAATATTTGCATGTTTTTTTAGTATAATGCATGCTATTTAATTAAAGTATTTTTATTACTAATACATTAATTTCAGTTCACATATGATTTACACTCTGGAATTTTAATGGCGAAGGAATTCGTACATAATCATTTAGAACCTTTAGAGTTGATATTGCATGCATGATGATGTGCCTTGTTTTTAATTGATGGTGTAACTATTTGTTTTTCTTTAATATTTTGGTTTTATGTTGTAGAAATAACTAGATATATTTCTGTTACAGAAAAAAATCTGAGATTACTCTTTATGATCAGTCTGTGTTTCTGTTTTCACTTTCAATTCAGTACTATTCATATCATGTTTTTATTCACACTGCTTCTGTAACAGAAACACCTGTTGAAATGTTTGTGTTGCAGGGTTTCATGTGGAGCTATTTATGTTGCTGAGAGGCTTCCAGAACTGCTTGGGTTGCCAGAAATACTTGTTGAAAACAGATATTTGTTGCAGAGATGATCACTTCTGTTTGGTTTGTAGAGGTACTTGTAGAACCACATTTTGTAGAAGTATTTTGATTTGAAAGGTTTTAGGGACACTTGCATGGTAGTACTTTGCTTGCTCTCTTATGTTATCAGAAAACACTTTACCAAGGTAATAAAAATTATTCCTAAACATAGTAATGTACAAAATAAAACAAAAGTTTACTTATTGGTTCCTTGCTTTGGTTAAAAAGTAAATTTTTCAGTGTTCATTTATTTTTAAGTGATCAATATTTTTGAGTGATTTCATGAGACATTTTCATGAAATTTTGTATATTATACTCTTTTGGTTGATGTGTGTATTTATTTATTATTCACATCACCTATGTTTTGTGTTTTATTAGATGGGTATTCTGAATTCACTTACAGCTTGGGAGATATACATCATAGTTTTCTGTAATATGACCTAAGAAACTTGTGTTTTGTTCTCTTAAAATGGCTTCTGACATTGTTCCAAAACTTTTTGGACATGGTTTGGTAACAGCTAAATAAAGCAAATATGGAAGCAGAAAGTGAGAAATAGGTTAATACTTTTTTCACAGTCTAATGACTGCCAGTGTTCTGTTGTGAGGCATATTACCCATGTACTTTCTGATAATTGATATAAGTAACACCTGTGATCTGTCTTATTTAGAGGTATAGTACAGCTTTTTTATGAACTTTTTACTATCTTTCAAATCTACTGTTGAGAGATGGATATAAATGATGGCTGTAATAAAACCACATTCTTTAAGAAACCCTAAGGAGGTAAATCTATTTGGTAGGTAAACACATTTAGAAGGGGGGGGGGGTAAAGAAAATTTAGGAACCATTAGGATATAAGTTATCAAGTTACATTCTTCCCTTATGAACACATTTGTCTTATATTAGAATGATTTTCTGTTTTGTTTGGTCAAATAATGGAGATTTTTTATTTTTTATTTAATGTGAATGTAATTGATAAAAATGAGACATATTGACAGTTATTCAAGATATTGAATTCAGAGTTTACAACTGATATAGATTTTTGAATTTGTTGTTCAAGATGCTAATATTATGTTAACAAACTAGCCCAAAATAAGGGTAATGATATGAATTAGCTAGTCAGACTAGGTTGGTAATTGATCATTGCATGCCATTAACTCATAGCCTACGAATGGGGTTCACGACATGGCTGACTTGGTTGGGGCTCCGTCACCCAAAGACCGGATATCATGGCTAACTTGGACGTCATGTTACAATGATGCGCATATTAAATTTTATGCAGTTCTTTATAAGTAACCCTCCTGCCCACACCATATTCCCTGGGGCATTACCTGTGGGAGAACAGGATGTGCAATACTATGATTGGCTATTGCTTTTTATAAAGGGTGAATTCTAGCACATAAATCAGCTGCTTGCTGTGTGTGGAAGATGCCACAGACCAAAACAGCATGTTCTCTTGCTGTTGATGTAACCTTTACTCTTGTTTACGAGATCTGTCTCGGTGTGTCAATTACTCACATTGTCTTTCGGTTGTCTGCCAGTGTGACTGTCTTGAAGTAGGACACAAATAAATGAAGTACTGAACCCATGGTTGCAGTAGCCTTGTATGTCATTTTATACAATCTCATATTTTGTGAAAATGATTGGCAAAAATAAGTTATTTAATTTTTTTTTTTTTTTTTCATCCTTTAATAAAACAACATTCAATCTTGTACACAGAGTGTAATATATCTTATTTAGTGAAATGTACATAATTAAGCTGCTACAGGTTCAATATAGCAACCAAAATGCATATCATGCATCTTTAAATATGCAAAAGCATTAGTCATGTTTTGCATACAAGTGATATAAAGATTGTCATATCACTTTGTTGGTGTGGTGCAGCCAGTGTGTAGCACTGGCTGCATCTGAAAAAGGCCCTGGAGGCAAGCTCAGTATTACGTGGAGTGGAGGCCAAGTGAACCCCATATTCTCCCAGAGGCAATGGGTTAATCCTCAAAGTTGCCCAGAACATTTAGAAATATACTTTGGACGGTAAGATTTAATTTAATAGATAGGACATTGCTGGTTATTAAATTTTTCATTGATAATATTTTTTCTTTTACTTTATTATTATTGTCTTTTACTTTTGAACAACCATGTGAAAAATTTTTCACAGAGTGCTTACTTAACATGTGATTCATACTTCTCTTGCAGGTTGTTACTATTGCAGTAATGGTGATTTTGGTAACTGCTCCTCTAGGGGCAGCTGCGATCAAACTGACAGGGCCCAAGTTCCTTGCTAGAAAACCCTCTTCCAACTCGCCGCAAGACTCAGAAACTACAGTTTAGACTGATTGTTATCCCTTTTCCAGATATATCTTCCTGTTGTTTTTTGTAGGGTTTGAACTCTATTCTGCTTTCAATAACATGCAAACTACTAGAAATAGTTGAAGAGGTTTCTTATATTTATAGAGAATGTCAATTTGAAATATTTTTATGATATTTTACATATTACTTCACATGTATATTGGAATTCGATAGGAAGATTTAATACAGCAGCTTCTCAGCTACACCCTATATATTAGTTTTTTCTTATTTAGTTGACCAGTTACAGCAGTTCATTATTACTGAGACCAATACTTTTGTGATATTATTTTTATTTGTAAAATTGCAAGCTTTTAGAACGAAAAGCACTTCATTAGCTCCATGCATTAAAAATAAGTAAACAAAAAAATCATGGAGTCATGTGTGCATCATCCCAGTACGTGATTCTTATCAACTAAGGTCCTAAATTCAAACATGGAAAGTATTTATGTCACAGTTATGTTCCAGCCTTTAGAAGAGAATGTCAAAGACTGGTGGTTACTAAAGACCTTTCTTAGTTTTGCAATCACTTGTTTCTTAATCTGTTCCCTTCCCACCTAAAACCTGCTTATGTTTGAGTGCCAAGTGGACTCATTCATAATTGGCTGGGTCACAGTTTTATGTCCAGTTTGTGAAATAATGTTGGGGGAGTCCTTCAAAGTTGTGATGATAACGGTGCACTTGAAAATCATGTGGTTTGTGTGGCATGTGTTTTGGTATTTTTTAAATGTTTTTTGTGCTCTGGCTTTAAGGAACTTCATTTTTTATTCATTTATTTAATTTTTATATGTAGCTTAACAAGCCAGTATCATGTTATGTTTATTTACTCATTATTATATCTGTGTATATATTTTTTTTCAAGTTAAAGAAACAGTTCTGAATGGGGCTTGATATGTGAAACATTCCAGAAATATGTTTTTCATTTCCATTAACAAACTTATGGGATACATGGAAAGACAAAGAGAAAAAGAAAATATTTAGGCATTTGAATAATTTCCCCAAATGTGCAGACTGCTGAATGAAAATGATCTGAATAGTCTGGCATTATATAATAATACATGTAAAATTATTGCATGAAATTTTGATGCAGTTTTTAAGTAAGTACAGTTATTACCTGCAATAATGTGACCTTTTAGAAAAAGTAAGAATTTGGTGGTGTGTTCATCAGAGAGAATTTTGTGATTAACAGGTATGACTAATTCTTTACTTTAGTACTTAAATAGATGAAGCTTTGAATAATGAAATGGTATGGGCTATATACAGGTAGTTGGGATTGGTTATGAATTTAATTCTTGTGATAAAAATGTAAAAAGACAATATATAGTGATAAAAGACAGAGTATGACCTAGTCACAAATAGATATTTCACAAAATTTCTGTTGAAGGGTAAATAATGTATATATGTTTTATATAGGTGTATATATATATATATTTATATATATACATATATATGTATGTATGTGTGTGTGTGTGTCTGTCTGTCTGTCTGTCTGTCTGTCTGTCTTTGTGTGACTGTGTGTGTCTGTGTGT